GGTATTACATATCAGACCTCAAGCTCTACTGCAGAGCTATAATAACAAAAACAGCTTGGTACTGGCATAAAAGTAGACTTGAAGATCAAAGGAATAGACAAGAAGACCCAGAAATAAAACCATATGCTTACAGCTGATGAAGTGGCCAAAGACAAAACAGTGGGAAAAACATAGCCTCTTTAATAGTTGGTGTTGGGAAAAGTGAGCATCTATATGAAGAAAGCTAAAAGTGGATCCTTGTTTGTTACCATGCACTAATATCAATTCAAAATGGATCAAAGACTTCAATATCAGACCTGAAACTTAAAAATTGCTCTAGGAGAAAGTGATAGAAACATTAGAACTTATTGGTATAGGTACAAATTTCTAGAATAGAGAGACCCAGGGGCCCCACAGATAGGAGAAGGACTTGACAAGTGGGACTACATCAAAATAAAAAAAATATTCTGCACAGCTGAAGATATAGTTACTAAACTAGAAAGACAGACAGCAAACTTGGAAAAGATCTTTACCAGCAATATATCAGACAAGGCCTAATATCCAGTATATACAAGGAGCTCAAGCAACTAACCCCTCCCAAACCTAATAAGCCAATCACTAAATAGGAAAAAGAGCTAAGGAGATACTTCTCAGAACAAGAAGTAAGAATGGCAAAGAAACACATGAGGAAATGCTCATCATCCCTGACAATAAAGGAAATGCAAATCCATCTCACTCCAGTTAGATTGACAGCATTCTAAAAACAACACATGTTGGCAGGGATGTGGGGAAAAAGGAATGCTACTGCACTGTTGGTGGGAATGTAAACTAGTACAACCACTCTGGACAGCAATCTGGAGCTTCCTCAAAAATGTAAACATAGATCTCTATGACCTAGCCATACCACTCCTGGGCATCTACTATGAACACCAGGAGCCAGTATGATAAAGTCACCTGCACAACCATGTTTATTGCTGTGCTATTCACAATAGCTGAGATATGGAAACAGCCCTGATGTCCCACACAGATGAATGGATCCAAAAAGAATGTGTACCTATATACAATGGAATTTTATGCAGCTATTTAAAAGAATAAAACTAAGCCAGGTGCCTGTGGCTCACACATGTAATCCTACCTACTCAGGAGGCTGAGATCTGAGGATCGCAATTCAAAGCTAACCCGGGTGGAAAGTTCATGAAATTCTTATCTCCAATTAACCACTAAAAAAAATGGGAAGTGGTGCTATGGCTCAAGAAGTAGAGCACTAGCTTTGAGCTGAATTGCTCAGGGACAGTGCCCAGGACCAGAGTTCAAGCCCCACAACTGGCCAAAAAAAAAAAATCAATCAATAAAAATAAAAGAAAGAGAGGATAAAATTGTGTCATTTTCAGGGAAGTGGATGGAACTAGAACATATCATGCTAATGGAGGTAAGTCAAGCGTAGAGAGACAAATAGTACATGTTCTGTATGATATGCAGAAATTAGATCTAAAATACACTGGTGTATGATAAATTATACATGATTCTAGACACATATACACAGTGAGACCAAAACAGGACAATCTTAGGAGAGAAACACCAAGGCACAATCTCTACATACACCTCTCTCTCTCTCTCTCTCTCTATATATATATGTATATGTATCTCACACAAAACCTCTCTCTATATATACATATATATATATACATATCTATGTATGTATATATATATATGTATATACATATATATAGAGAGAGAGAGAGAAAGAGAGAGAGAGAGAAAGAGGGTGAAGGCATGGAGAGATAAACCCTGAGAAAGCAAGAGATCTCTCTGTTTTTTTTTTTCAATTTTTTGATAATTTCTTTCTTCTTTTCTTCATGTTTGTTGTATTTGTATGTAAATCATCAGGAGGGTTGGGGGAGGGTACAGAGCTTGAAGGAAAGAGGGTGAAAAAATACAGCAGTAGGGCTCACTGAACTATACAACTCACGCGTGGAGATGGGAAGGAGGAACTGGGGAAGTGAGAGGACAGAAGACACTGTACAAAAGGAGATGTACTCATTACCTGACTCATGTAATTGTAATCCCTCTCTATATTACATTTATAATAACAATAAAGAAAAATTTTAAAAGAAAGTAATATACGGTATGAATTTAATCAAAGCTCATTACCGGTAGTATGGGTGTACAATAGTTACGTGCTAATAAAGTGAGAAAAAAATGGAATATTCTTGGGCCAGCTTAGTGGAAGAGCGCTTGCCTAGCAAGCACATGGATCTGGATTTGATCTGGGTTTTGCAGAGATGTGGGAAGCAGACATTCTATTTATGTATCACTAATGGGAATATAAATCTGCATTGCTTCCACGAAGACAATTTTGTCAATATCCTTCAAAATCAAGAGATTCCTTCACTCTCTATTCCTCCTCTTCTTTTTCCCTCCTCCTGCTCCTCCACCTTTCCCTTACTCTCTTTCCTTATTTTTGAGACAGGATCTTGCTTTGTAGAAAAACAATACAAAACAACAACAACAACAACAAAATACTGATAACCTAGTTAGAACATAAAGTTCCTGCTATCAAAGTGTAGTCAGAATACAATTCATAAATATAAAACCAAGTACTTTAAATTTATTTGTAATCTTGTTTTGAATGCTGCAACATAATTAGGATATAATCAACTATGTAATGCAATTTTGTTGAATAATTGATTATAAATCAGTCTTGTATCTTGTATATTTACACAGCTATAGAATATTATTAGCAGTAACTTTATGTATTTATGTGTTTAAATATCAAAACATTCATTTATCTCTTTATAAGCACATAAAGCAAGTAATCTGACTAAAAATGTGATTATGACAAAAGTATTACCCATCATGAAAATTATTAACCAATGTTGTCTTGGTTGTAAATTCTGAAAATGTTGTACTAACAAAACTATCACCTACTTAACCAGCTGAAATATTCTAATGCAAGGTAGCAGAAAGAGTAACTTAATGTTTAATAATATCATAATATAATGCTAGATATAACTATTTAGTGAACATAGGGAAGAAGGCTTGGTCTAAAACAGTATCGGAATGAGATAACATTTTTTAAAGGACCTGTCTTTAGATTAAACCCCTTTAGAAAAGAATATATATTAAGTCAAAAGAAAAAAAGGCATTTGTAACCTAAGAGTCATTAAAGGCCAAAACTTCTATGGGAAGAAAATAAACATTTGAACTCATTTAGATCACTAAGTTTGGGATCAGCACCAAAGTGGAAAGGCTAAGTAGAAAATACCTTTTAGAAATGAATCTATACTGGCAAACACTCTCTTTCTATTGGAAAATTTATTTATTGGGCCAACTGACCAACAGTCTTCTCTCAAGGCAGGTATTGGTTCCATGGAGGAGAAGAAAAAATAGAGCATCTTTGTTTTCTGATAGTTCTCATGGTCAGAGGTTATTTATGATAAAGAAATAAGAAGACTGAGATTTGGGGAAATGGAATAGATTTCACAAGGAATGGTACTAACTGGAATATTGTAAAAGTTCCCTTTTATAAATTTTTTGTTTTTTATTGTAAAAGTACTGTACAGAAGGGTTAGAGTTACATGAGCAAGGTAATGAGTACATTTCCTATCGAGCATTGTTGCCTCCTCCTTTGTTTTTTCCCCTACCATCCCTTCCCTCCCACCTCCACAACTACTCTCCTCCCCCCTCCACCATCGCCAAAGTTGTAAAGTTCGTTTTCAACTAAGTGTATTGTACATTTCATTGTTAAAATGGTTCAAACTGTATCCCTATTTAAGCATTTTGTTTTTCCCCTCAAAAGCTCCCTTTTAAAGGAAAAAAGCAAATGATGGTATAAAAACTAAGAAATAGTTATTTTAAGCACAGTTCTTAACTACTTAACCATATTCCAAGGTGAATAATGTGAACATAGCAAGCCTAATATAGAATATGTGATAATATGAAAAACAATGGGAAATTTCTAGATATAATTTCCATGGTTTCTACACAGGAAGCATAATATAGCTCAAAGTTTTGTTATTACCTGTGTGTGTGCGTGTGTGTGTGTGTGTGCGTGTGTGTGTGTGTGTGTGTGAGCTCGCCTGTGCATGCACGCACTCACGCATGCACTCGCATGCACACATGTATTCTGGTCCTGGGGCCTGAGCACTGTCTCTAAGATTTTTTTACTCAAGGCTTGTGCTCTACCACTTCCAGCTTTTGGGTGGTTAATTGGAGATAAATAGTTTAATAGATTTTCCTGCCTGGCTGGCTTTGTAGCATGATCTTCAGATCTCAACTTCTTAAGTAACTAGGATAGATAGAGTAGCAGGCATTAGCCACTGGCCACTGGGCTGTTATTATTTTTTAAAGGTTATAATAACTCCATTTTACTTGCCCAATCTACAAGGAATTAAACCCCTTGGGCCTTAATAGCCACAAGCCCTTTCTAAGTGCTCTTGCAAATATTCCTCAACTTTGTGACTAAATCATTGCTGTGTTTATCTTGGTTGCAGTTATCAGGACAAACACTGGAAGTTTTGAGTTACTGGCTCACTGTCAAAATCTGTGGCACTTTCACAGTGTTGTTCAATATGACCAAATTTGAATATGCCTCTTTCAATTCTCCTCTTGAACAAATATACCTTCTTTGCTAGGTATGTGGCACAGCCCCAGTGAAGGAAGACAAAGGCTCTCTATAGGGCTACTTCTACTAACCACATTAGCTAGTTCCTAGCTGATAGAGCAGAGCTTGTTACTTGCATTTAGAATTTCAATAAAATGCAAGCTATGTGTTAAAATGTGCAGTTGATAAATGAATGACATGGATGTGATCTTATTTTCAGGCTCCTATAATAATGTGCAGTTTAAGTGTTTGCCTTCGATATCTTAGTGTTATGCCAGTTCTATCACAAGTACCTGGAGCCAATTTCCAGTCAGAAATCATGAAATGGTGCTCAGAGAAGACAATGGTGACTCATATAGAAACTTATATTGAAAGAAAGACTGAATCAAACTGGTGGTAAAAACATGACCTTCCTCCATAAGGTCAAATAATTTTATTTCAGTTAAACACTACAATACAGTATATGTCCATTAAAAAAGAAAACTCTATAGGGTATATAAATTATTCCTTCCATTCATCAATTCTTCTCTTTTCCATTACAGCTTTGGTACAGTGCGATTTAGAATATAATTTTTAAATACTTTTAGCATCACAAACTCAACACAAAGTACAAAACTAATCCGAATCGGTGATATTGTAATCTACACAGTGGTATTCAGTGGTAGGAGAAAATCTTACCTTGATGAATTCATGTCACTAGCTAAGCTATAAAGGCATACCTAGCAGACATGACGGAAATATGCACCATTAACCAGCTAAAGTGTGTATTAGTCTTTGTTTATTTTTTTTATTTTTTACAGGAGAATACCAGCAGCAAACACTGGAGTGTTGAGTGAATACTTAAGTCCTCAGTCTGTGTTCCCAACTTGCTCCTCTTTTTCCATAAAGGCCTTGAGTAATATCTGAAGAAATGCACCTCAGCCACTGCATTCAGAATTTGACCTGCCAGCCGGCGTTGCTCATGCTTGCACAGTTTGTCCTGCAGCTGGCAGACATCACAGGGACAGTGCTGGAGGGGCAGTGTGGACCAAGCAGCCTAAGGTTGTTCTGAGGGGTTGGCGGTGTGACATTACAGTACACAGGCATTCCGGTGGCTGGGAGTGACCCCTGGCCTGCCTGGTTAGGCAGCATGATTGGTGGTTGGTATGTCTGCTGGGGCACTCCTTGAGACCCTTGGGTCATTGGCACCTGTAGAAAGACACAAGCAAAGCCCAATGTGAAGGGACAAGTATTATGAAATTGCTTCAAGATTTTGAGTTAGGTTACCAACCCTAGTTACCAGGTACTTCATTGGGAAAAGATACTTTACCTCTATGACTGCCTAGGCCATCTGAATAATGGAACTTAAAAAGAACTGAAAAACCAAAAAAACATCGAGAGCATTTTAGGGATGGTGCACAGGGCCTGGGCACAAGGTCCAGCATGCAGCAGATGCTGGAAAGTTAATTTGGAGCATCTTTCTCTCCTCCCTCCACCCTCCCCTCCCAGAGCCTGCACTGGGATTTCCCATTCTGTTTTTTTTTTGTTTGTTTGTTTGTTTTTTCCTGTGTGGAAAGCTATGACACCCCCTACCCCCGCTTTCTGATTCTATGCAAATAAAGTTCCTTGGAGTGTCATAATCAAAGGAGCTTTGTTCAGGGTAAGAGGGTCGAGGAGCAGTGCTTTATGCCAGAAGTACTTGATGACTCTAAATCTAATGGTCAAGGCCTTCCACTAACTCTTCATATCTACTCTTAGGGTACTTCAGGAGTCAAATCACAAAAAGATGCAGGGCACTTTTGAAAAACTCAAGTTGAATTTAGTCTGGAAAATGAGGATGCTAATCCTCATAAATATCCTTTAAATAAACATGAGATAGCATTTAAAAATCTCTATTAATAAAATCATGGTATAATGCTGTTTCTTTAGGAAAGTATAAAATAACTGGGAGATTCAGAACTGTAATCCTAGTTACTCAGGAAGCTTAGATCTGAGGACAGTGGTTTATAGCCAACCTCAGCAGAAAAGTCCCTGAGATTCTCATCTACAATTAACCATCAAAAAGCTAGAAACGGTTCAAGTGGCAAAGTACTAACTTGAGCAACAAACAAACAAACCAACAAACTGAAGGAACAATGCACAGGCCCTGAGTTCAGTTTAAGCCCAGTACTCACTCACTCTCTCTCTCTTTCTCTCTCTGTCTCTCTGTCTCTCTCTGTCTCTCTCTCTCTCTCTCTCTCTCTCTCTCTCTCTCTCTCTCACACACACACACACACACACACACACTGGGAATTTGTCATGGTGTTTTCTACCAGTAATTGAAATTTTAGTAAGATGCCAAAAGGCCTATATAAATAGAAGTTTAATGAATTTTCTTCTATAAGTAGAAAATTTATAGGGAAATGAATTTAGCTACATTTTTTTAAGTCATAGCAGTTATAGAAGTATACCTTTCCTAATTTCTGCTTTCCTTTGTTGATTCAAAGTCACTTCACAGAAAAGGCTGGGCCAAGCACTTACTTACTCCTCAACCAACCATCCAACACAGGGCATTTCCCACAGCTTCTCAGTTGACAAGTGCTACTTTGTAACCCACAAATTTCCAAGCTGCTGACCCGCACCTGATAAGAGGACATGGTTGGGTAGGAGACCATCATGCCTTGCACAGGAGCTCCTGGCTGATTGCTCACCATACCCTGACTCTGAGGAGACTGCTGTACTCCCATCAGGCCTTGGAACCCCTGCTGTCCAGACAGGACTGGCTGATAACCTGAGAAGAAAAGAAAAGATGGCTTTGGGATGGATTGCATCAGGAAGAACATGGAGGGTTTCATGGGGGAGGGTTTCTGCTTCCAAGGCAAATTTCGGTAGCCTCAATCTCTGTCACAAAATATGTTATCCAAATGCCTATTTCCTAAGAACATGTCTCTTGATTTCTGAGACTCAACAAGATTATGGATCCACCCCCTAACTCCATTTTGCAGAATGGTCTAACATGTACATGACAAGAGTAAACTCATCACGATACAAGAGATGCAGAGGTCTCTCTTGACACAGGTTGACTGTTATAAATTGCATCTTTCATATTTGACTTTTTTGGGTGGTTCTGATGATATTTGGACAATTCACAAATTATCAAGGACTTTTAAATTTAAACTTCTCTTGCTATCCTACCTTCTTGCACTATTTCATTCTATATAGACATCACCAAACTTAAATTTGGATGAAGTATATATTTTTCATATCCTAGTGAACTACTCTGAAAAACTAGATACCCATTGAGTTTGACCAAAAGGCAATATCAATTGAAAGGTATATCATGATTTTATTATATTTCCCTATGAGCTCCTAAGAAAATATTCTAATAAAATACTCAGAGACTATGAGCATGGTAAGAATACAAAATTGAAAAAGATAGCCCATATTTTTTCTCTATATCTATATGTGTTTGCCTGTCTGTATCCAGCAGGCTGGATGGTTCAACTCTTTTTATAGATGGACCAGATTTATTTATTTGAAATTTTACCATAAGTAGCTTATAATGCATCTTGAAAAGAAGATTGTGCTCTGTTCTTATAAATATTGAGAATAAAGGTGAAAATGACATAGTGGTAAAGAAATGAAAACAGATTTACATCAAGCTTTAAAACAGAGTTTCAAGGGTTTAGACCATTCACTATGTTGAGTGAGTACTAGAAAATAAGTCAAGATGCTGTCTTTAAAAAGTTCTATGAGAGACAAGAATCTTTAAAACTCTAGATTTTCCCAATACAAACATTGATCTGAGAGTTTTACAACCTGATTTGAACACAGAAGAAAAGGTTACAAAAAATCGAATCAATATTCATGATTAATTCATGGCATTAGTGAAGAAAGGTAACATTACATTGTAGTCTTTACAGAAAAAAATACTTTTCTCTGCTTTGCTATGTAAGACTGTATCTTTATAATGTAGGATTTGCATATAGTCCCTTTATTAGGAGATTGGTTCAGTTAACCAGATGGGTTTGAGACAAGGTGTCCTCAATATGAAAGGCCTAAGAGAGCAAGCCTGTCTCCAAGCTGAGATGAGAGGTCTTATCTCTGCCTGTAACTGGGGATTAGAACCAGGGTAAAGTTTATTTTTGTAATTATTTACTTATTTGCTGTGTGTTCATTTGTGGGAACTGAGGATTGAACTCAGGACCTCACGCTTGCCTGGTAGGTGCACTACTACTTCAGCCATTTTGATCCTCAGGTCTCTGCCTCCCAAGTACCTAAGATTACAGATTAATGCCACCATGTCTGGCTCCAATGTATAATTTTTAACCATTAGCCTTTGATCTGCTTTATGTGTACCTGATTTTGTGTTCCTGTTAAGCACCTAATTCATTTCCTCAGATATTAATTATTGAATGGCTTTAAATCCTTGCAATGGTGCCACATATTACTAATATAATTAAGGGTAGGGGCAATCTTCCCCGAAGCTCCTTTCTGAACAGCCCAGTCAAAGCTTTCCTTTAATATACTTAGAAGTCTATGGAAGTCTATGGAATATTACCCACATGGTGGGTTACATAAAGCTTATGCAATAAGGAAAATCATTTGACTTAGTGAGTCAATGATATATCATGGTTAAAACTATCTCTCAAAGGCTTTACCTGAGAAAGTACTAGACAAATGTTATTTTAATATTAATTGCAAAGAAACTGTTTTCTATTGCTCTTTAGAGTCAAAATTTTCATCCTCAGCCATGTGTCCAATTACCCTGAAAATAAGCATCCTCAAAAATATGACTCTATGCCATTTTATTAGGACATGATTCCAAAGCACATAGAATTCTTTGCAATAGGACATCATATGTATAAGAAAATGACTTGGTATGGTTGTAAAATGCTCACAGGTAGTCCTCCTTACCATGTACATCTATAGCCAAGAGCAGGCAATGTAAACTCCCAGTCCAGTCCTTGTGATTGTGACATAATAGGATAGGGAAGGGTAAAATAGATAGGTTAGGCCAGGACAGAAAAAAATAGGAAAGAATAACAGTATTTCTGTCTGAAGATTCAGAGCAAAGGTTGAAGATGAGAGAAATGTCTTGATATTTTCAGCTCATTAAAAAAAATAAAGGCCCAATTGACCTTGACAGACTTTTCTTTTGTCTTTTGCAGAATAGATGCAGCTACTGAGTAAACCTGAAGAGAAGAAGGGAAGGATGAGTGGAAGAAGAGGTGAGACAATGTAAGGTCTGCACACTATTCATGCATTTGCTGACGGGATGCTTCCAACCATCCAAAGAGTTGTTTTGGCTCAAAAATACACTGAGATGGGCCAAGAAGAAATGGCTTCATCACAACTGCATGCTCTAAACCAAAACTGAAGAGAAGGGAAAATAACAGAGATGTTAAGACATTCAGAAAGCAGAATGTTTTGATAGAAAGAAGAAAAGGGCACATTTCAATGATAGTCAAGGACAAGAAAAGAATAGGGAAGTTGTGCTGCCCCATCTTCATAAAAACAGGAACCTGTGAGTGTCTTTGAGAGTAAACAAGTCATCTGTGCTGGGAGCTGGGCTATGGCTGCATGCTTGTACCCCCTCCTTCCCAGATCTCCTCTGCTGATGATTTGTGTACCTCAATATTCAGTTAAACACAGCTCTGCAATAAGGACCCCACAGAAAAAAACACTCAGGACAAACAAAGACTTATATGGGAAGCAAATATTCTCCAATTTCAGGATTAAAACTTAAGTGTAAGGAAAGCTTCAATTTGTATTCAGGACTCCCATTCATCTTTCCATTTGCCCTCCCAGCAAGAAATTAAAATCTAGAATGGTTTATTTGGTGATGTTCATTTCTCTAAGTAAAGCTGGGGAAAATAGGTTGCAGAATGTTCTCTAAGACAAAGGGCGATGTGGATTGTGGCTCTTGGTCCTGATCCAAGAACAGACAGAGAACTGAAATAGTGAGGACCCCTGAATGAACTGACAGTGTCTTCCAGGAATACAACACACCTTGAGGCAAAAATGAAAGTATTCCTGGCAACCTGCTTATCTTGTCTACTCACAAGAGAAATGTGTTTCCTCTAGTCAGTTTTCAGCCCTGAAATGATCACTTCCTCATGTTTATGGAGGATTAACATGAGATAATGCAGCTCACAAAATGGAAACTGAAATCCCCTTCTGTCTCCCTGGCTTGCTAAGGAGATGATGATAAAGACATTAGCTATTTTTTTTTTTTTTATCATTTCTCTTTCAGTCACTGCAGATCCAATTTTCAAGTCATGTGAGTCATTTATTTGTTTGGAAGTGAAAAGGTTAGGAATGGGCACATGTGTTCTAGCCAATAAAGAATACACTCTGCCAGAATGGAGAAGTTTATGACACAGTTCAAAATGATTGAATCCTATAAATCTGAAAAAAAAAAGAAAAGTACAACTGTTGTTGAATATTGTTTGTAATTTGAAGATGGTTTGTTAAAATGTAAGCAAGAAGACACTTTTGGATATAGCACAATTATGGAAAAACCAGAATAGCAATTGATTGAGCAATATAAATTATTGTAAATGTGACTGATAGTATGTTAACTCTTACTTGATTTCTTATTTTATTTGTTTATTTACTTCACTCTTATTTATCCTAATTCTTGTCTGAAATAGAAGATTTTGGAATGGACAACTTGTAGGCTTCTGTTAGTCCTACTGCTGCTCTTTTTTATGCTGAAGATGGAGAAGAGAGTAGTTAAGAGAGAATCTCCTAAGTAATTTCTAATTCTGTCTTCCCTAGTCTACCTAAGTGTTGTGATTATTAACTGGAGAGAGTGGGGGGAAGAGAGAGAGAGAGAGAGAGAGGAGAGAGAGAGAGAGTATGTGTGTAAAGAGAGTATGTGTGTGTGTGCATGTTGGTTCCTAGTCTTGAACTCAGGGCTTGCTTGCTTGTTGATGAGTGAGCCTTGCCTGTAGTCACTTAACTTGGACTTGAATCAACATGTAAAAATGTCTCCCACATTCCTTAGGAAGTATGGAGAATCTTGCTTCTTGAATCTGTGTGAGATTTGAGGTGGAATTAGAATAGTTCAATAAAGTCTTGATTGAAGAATATGAAGAAAGACAATGTTATTAAGAGCTACCTCTCCATCTGTTGAAGTTTGATTGCACATTTTGCCAGTTTCCACTATTTACCTGGTTCTTTCCCTTGTTTTCTTCACTCTTAGGTTTAAAGTATTCGCTCTAGGTTTCCCATCATGTTCAGAAGGTTCCTATTCTACATGTTCATCTGCTTTGAAGACTTTCCATTTTAAACCAGCCATATATGTTCTTCACTGACTCCCAGTCGAACAGGGGTTTCAGTACTTTTACCTGACTGCAGTGGCTCCGAGAAACATGACAGATTAGTCACTGCTCATGCCTGTCATACTAGCTATTCAAGAAGCTGAGATCTAAGGATTGCAGTTTTTAGCAAGCTATGTGCCACCAATTGACTAGCAAAGAACCAGAAGTGGTAGAGTGCTAGCCTTGAGTAAAACAAACAAACAAAAAACCCAAACAAAGCAAAACAACAACAACTAAGGGACACCACCTAGGCCCTGAGGGCAAACCCCAGTATAGGCACAAAGACACAAAATACCACACACAACAAAAATCTCCTTTTATGGGAAAAATCTTATGATGAAGAAAGATGTAGGAACTCATTATGATCATAAAGGAACTATGAGGAAAAAGAATTTACACTGTGGCTTGTGACTCCCTGGCTCTCATTCACTAAATGGAAATACTATTTAATATGCATTCTTCT